GTTAATTGATTGATCCTTCACAAGGAGTTCACCCAACATACGTGGGGGCCTTCCTCTAGATACCAGTTGGAGCAATTGAGATGTCCACTCATCACTCTTGACACATGACTAGCCTATCTTTTTTTCCATTTGTAAAAAATGTAATGACAGCCTTTATGTTGCTTTTCTTGTATAATTCTTCACTGGAACCATGGCACAGCCTGCTAACTGTTGGCATATTACTTTTAAAAATGTTGTAAACATAGAGTGTAGTTTCTTTATGAGGAGACCAAATATCTTATTTTTGAAGGAGATTTGCATGTAGAGGCTCATATGTCACATTTCTCTAAAGAACGCCATTAAACTGCTGCTCTCTGCGCCTTAGAAACTGAGAAACACTGGTCTATGATTATACCTTTCCTCCTATGGTTGACATTCAGAAGAAGACACGCCAAGGCTAACTTGTTGCGCCATCTAAAATTGTAAAGTGCAGCCAAGGACTACTTTCTGCAAGGAGGATTATATACACAGAAGTATATCTGAGGGAGTTATTTACTGGATGGTTTGTCCACTGAGTCCCTTTTGAAAAAATATAATTTCCTGGCATAATCTGTCTTGAACAATTCTCTTCTATGCTTTTCTTTGAAACTAGTAACCAGGAAAAGTGCTATTTAACATGGTTATCATGGAGTCTTGTTTTCCAAAATAATTTACCTGATTAAGATAAAGGGGTGTAAAAATCAAGTGGGAGTGGGGAGAGGCTTGAGGTAGGTGGACTCACTAGCAGGCTCTTACAATAATCAGGTGTAATGTGATGAAGGCCTGCTACACAGTGATGGCAGTGTCAGAGGAGAGAAGGGGGTATATTGTACAAGAAACAGAGAGAAGGGTGAAACAGATTAGCCTGGGTTACAGACTAGATACAGGGGACTGAGAGATACTGAGGAGTCAAGGACGACATCTGGATTGCAAGCCTGAGGGCCAGGGAAGATAGTATTTCTATAATAACAGGGAAGGTAGAAGGTGGGGAGGGTTTAGGGCGAAAGATATTATTAAGTCCAGTTTTTAACATGTTGAGTTTAAGATGTCTATGGATATCCAGTTTGAGATGTTTGAAAGGCAGTTGGTGAGGAGAGACTGGAGGTCAAGAGAGAAGCTGGTGCAGATTAGGTAGATCTAAGAGGCACTGGCAGAGAGACGGTAATTAAATCCATGGGACAGAGAAGATAAGAGGGAGAAGAGAAAAGGACCCAAGACAGAATCCTGTGGGGCGCTTACAGTTAGAGGGTGTGATCTGAATGTGTATCCAGAAAAGGACATGGAGAAAAACTGGACAGATAAGTAGAAGGAAAACAAGGAGAAAGTGAAAACACAGGGAGAAGAGAGTTATCAGGGAGGAGAGAGTGATCCACACTATCAAAGGCTGCAGAGAGGTCAAGGAAAATGAGGATTGAGAAAAGGCCACTGGATTTGGCAACTAAGAGAATCACTGGTAACTTTGGAACGAGGAGTTCTGGTGAAAAGATAAGGTCAGAAGATAGATTGTAAGGAGATGAGAAGACAATGAGAGGAGAAAGTGAAGGTAGCTATTATAGGCAGCCTTTTCAAGGAGTTTAGCCACAAAGGGAAGTAAAGATACAGCGCAATAGTTGGGGGATGGAAGGAATCAAGTAAGGTGCTTTTTTTTTTTTGAGGATGGGGAAGACATTGGCATATTGTAAGCAGTAGGGAATGAGCCATTAGACAGAGATTGAAAACAACTGTTGGAGTGGGGATGACAGAACGGGCAATATGTTGAAGGGGATGAGATGGGATGGGATGGAATCAGTTGAGCAGGTAGAGGAGTTAGCCTTTGTAAGAAGTGAGGCCACCTCATCCTGTGAGACATGGGTGAAAGTGTACAGTGGCAGAAGGCATATGAGCAAGATATGAGATAATATATGTAAAGTGCTTTGTACATCTCAAAGTGCCATATAAATGCTAGCTAACATATAGGAATCATTTTTGAAAGTTCTGTGTTTGTATTGAGCTAGAAACTTCTAACAGTCCATGTAAATGTTTGCCATTTAATACTTCTTTACCTTTCTTTTGAGCAGTCTTGGATTGCTATTTATTGGGATGTAGCTTACCAAGAATTCTATTGTCTAATGCCAGGGAAGATCCCAAGAGTTCTGGCCTCAACAGACTTTGGGGATAGTGGGCATCTCTTGCTATCTTTTTGCTGTTGTTTTCGAAAGGGAAAAGTCTTTTTATAAAACAGATTTGAAAAAAGTCTCTTCATAAAATAGTCTCTTTATAAAATAGTGGACAGAGATTTTCTTGCTGTATATACCTATGGTTTTCAGGGATGTAAGTTTCTGATCTCCCAGCAATCAGATTTTTCAGGGTAGGATATTATAAAAGCAAGAAGGGAGGAGGCTAAACAAGAAGACTGGGAGCCCAAGGTTGGAATGGGATATGTAAGATTTGCTGCCATTCTGAAACTCCCTGCAAACTTTCAGGCAAAGGATATGCAGAGAAGTGAATAATCACGGGTCAGTGCTGTGAACTGGGCAATGTGACCAGGTACACGAAGTTTTAATCAGGTATCGTTTTTTTTTCTTCCACGAGATTATTTCCCTATTAAATGTCAGGAAGTCTTGGGAAGCAGCCTCCAGATACATGTGTTTGAGGCTGTGTTAGTTATGCTTTACTTACCACTTAAAAAAATTGTGAAGTTTTTGATGGGAACAAGCAAGACAATAACATCACAGACGTCAGTGGGATTTTAACTTGTGTGTTGTGGCTATTTAAGTGTCATTAGAAAAAAACAAAAAAACACTTCCAAGAACTGCCCTAAACTGATCTGATATTTAAAGTTGGAGAGGATGAGCATACTCAATTTATCTTTATCCCTCAGTAAAATGAAGTAATTATAAAGTTCTGAGCAGAAAGTTTCACCGATGCACTAACTGGAATGCTAGAAATGATATAGAAGGTAGGGATCATATGGGGCTCACTGATCGCTTTACACATGTCTAGAAGAGATAAAAATCAATACAGTCCTGTTGACTTTTTATCTGGAATATAAATAGCTAGAAAATTAAAATAGTAGGACTTTCCTGTCTATGTAAGAAGAGACCAATGACAAACAAATTATAATAATAGGAATAATAGTTAGCATTTACATAATGCTTTAAGATTTGCAAAGCATGTTACAAATATTATCTCATTTTATCCTCATAATCCTGGGAGGCAGATGTTATTATTAATCTCATTTTTACAGATAAGGATACTGAAGCAGACAGGGGTTTAATGATTTGCCTAGGGTTTGAACTCAAGTCTCGCTGACTCTAGGTCTAGTGAACCACCTTTTTTCCTCTAAATAAACTATTATTGGGGATTTGATCAAAAAGGAGACTCCTTGGATATGTCACACCCTTTCTCATCAAGATCACCATACTGTGATAACTAACAAACTCGGGACATTATAAGACCTAAAGTGCTTAGAATAATTTTCCTACTAAATATATTTCACTGTATTTTAATTCTTTGAAAATTGGCAATATGTATGTAGTATATTTAGCAATACTTATTTAACTAGATACTTCACTGTTAAAGGTTTACAGTAAAATCTCACACTATAAGGTTGAGACAATGTTTAGAATTGTTCGTAATGAAGCATTTTTTAGTGGAGAAATTGGGGTAGAATTTGATTTAATGCAGAATATTTTCTGCCAGCTCAGAACAGAAAAATAAAGGCTCCTAAGTCTTATTCCTATCCCCCATCAATTGCCTATATGTCCCCTCAAAAATCATAATTTTTACAACTGATTGAGCTGACCCATGTGTCAAATGGGTACTAGACTTCTTATCTAGCAGACAGAGATGTCTAAGCATCGATAATGAAGTACCCCCAAAAAACTGACCTAAAAAGTTATTAATATAAAAATCCTGGATGCTCATGCATTTGCTATTTTTAACTTTTGCCATTATACTGTTAGTTAGTAGTAAAATCATTTGTTTGGGAATGTAGAGTACTTTGTTTAAGTTATGGTCCTGACAAGGTTTGAAAGAAAAATTCGAATTGTACTACAGGTGAAGGGATTCCTTTGGAGGTGTGAGAAAGCCAGTGGGAAGCCATTTGATGCAATGTCTGACATTACTATGTTTATCTTCCTTCTCTGGTCCCCATGGGCTTTTTTCAACCTGAATAAAAGTCCTAAAAATGATCCATATTAGGAAAGAGGAATCAGGATGCTGGGCAGGGAAGGATTCAAGTAGTTGTACGCAAGATAGGAAATTAGGGGAAATATAGTTTAAACGATCAGTGGACTTCATGGCCTTCCATTGGGGCAGCTTATCCTAGGAGGTTCTAAAGCTCAATAAGAACCACTGAAGTAAATCTCTAGATCAAAACCTGCAAAGCCACCTAAACTAAACGTCCCACCAGCACAGAACTACCAGGTGCAGCCACAGAAAGGAATGAAGTAAGTTCTTATAAGATATTTTCAATAATGGCAAACAAGGCAAGCTTACTCATTTGAGAGCTTTTGTTACAGCAACTGTCAAAAGATGGGTTGTTTTTATTACTCCCTCTCTCCCCCCAGCCCCTTAAAGGAAGGTCTTGTGAACACTTTCGTTCCTTCACTCTCAAGGGAAATCCAGCAATCCTTAAGCCCAATGAAACTGAAAGATCATAGCAACAGTCATTGATTGAAATCCCACAACAAGAGCTGTACCATCCTTGGACTGGCATACTCATAACCAGAGGGTTAAGTGAACACAGTAAGTGGCTGTAAACCACACAGAAGGTCATGTTCCTTTAAAATAAGGTGATTCGTTCATAACCATACCTCAGAGACTTGTATGCCCCATTCCTACTATGTGTAGGACTCAGATCATAAGTCTATGAGATGGATACAGTATGCTACTTGGTGGACAATTCAGCATGCACACAAATTAAAGCATGCACACAAATCAACATTATCAATCATTTGACTGGTCACCATCATCAACTGTAACAAATAAAAATACTGTACCTCCTCAGGCAGGCTGACAACCAAGTCATGTTTCGTCTGCCCTACCAGAGCTTGCCAGAAGTATTCACTGCATGCTGCCAACACAGCCCGGTGGGCTCGGAACTCTTTCCTTTCCACAATCAAAGTCACATCACAAAGAATATCCTTCTTCCGCTGGTCATTGAGGCACAGGAGGATATTGGTACAATGGACTGTTGACTCATACACATACATGGGGGATTCAGTCTTCTCATCCACAGACATTCCGTTCACACCCTAAAATAGAAATAAGAGTTATTCTAGTTATCAGAGTTTGAGAAAGACACACACACACACACACACACACACACACACACACTAGTGGGAGAGAAAATGAGAGAGGCAAAGAAAGATGACATCATGGTTTCTCTGTCCTGCATGAACTAGGCAGCGAATGGTAAAACTGCTGATCAGCACATTAATTCTCTGCTACAACAATAAGCTCAGGAAAACTATCTGGAAAGACATTTTCTATCACAGACCTTTATCCTTCTCCTTTATTAGGTTCCTTATCCACCCACAGTAGCAAATACAGCTAGGATTTTTTTTTTTAACAGAAGATACAAAATTTTTAAAAAGTATCCATTCTTCAATGTTTTGAAGCTTGATTTTTTTTTTCAGAAGATACACATGAATAGTCCAAAACATAGAACTAATTAAGATTTTTGCTAACAAAAATATAGAACATAAGCTCCTTAAGGGCAGAGACTACCTTGCTTTCGTCCCTGTATCTCCAGCGCCTGGTACCATGAGGTAGCTAAGTAAGTGTTTGTTGAATTGAACTGAACGGCAACAAAATAACTCTGAAGTACATGCATTGCTGAATGAATAAACGTCTTTTGGGTGGATGAATGCTCATTGGCACTTAGATGAATGAATGAATTGTTGAAACGTACCACCAGTATGATTTCAGAATTTAGCTTAGACACTAGGGATTTAGTTTTTGTAACTAGTAATGATACCTAATATTAGCAAGGACTAAAAAGGGACTCTGCTTAAATCAAGACTTTGTAACTTGGGACCCAATATTTAAATATTTTGATAACTACAATTAAATAAAATCAGCTTCCTTTACAATTTTATATATTTTGTTTTGTGCCTTTAAAAGTATTATTCTGAGAAGGGGTCCACAGACTTCATTAAACTGTCCAAGGGGGTCCATGAAACAAACAAACAAAAAGGTTAATAACTCCTGTCTAAATAACCTCTGACAATCAGATACTAACGGGTACCTTTTACCATTTCATCACATGGTCCAGTTGCATCTTCTATTAAAGTCCTCCTTTGATGCCTTGCTGTGCCACAGAGTGACTTGGCATTCTTTAAATGTCTGGCAGACCCTACCAAATTACCAGACTGTCAGTTGAGACCCTCCCTCCCCTTTAGGTATACTTGGAGAGGCTTTTATAAGAAGGTTGGTCATCCAGAGGATGATTTATTTTTGGGCCACAGAAGCTCATGAAATCATCTAATGAAGTGTGGAGGGGGTTGTGATCTATGTCAGAAAGGAAATTACACTGCACGGATAAGCTTGTAGCTCTCTGAGGTAAGAAGTACAACTGGATACCTTTGTTTTTGCTCATTCATAGGTAGTCACCCATCTGTCACTGATTTACTAACAATCCTTGTCGTCTTAACCAAAAAAAATGGATGTACATCCATTCTAAGGAAACCCAATGATAAAATCATGATGGTCCAAAAAAAGGCAGACTAGGTAGTAATGATGCATCTTAGAGGATTCCTTGTCTTATAAAAGGATTTGTTGTAGTATTTCTTTAAACAAGTTCTCTTAGTAAAAAAGTATAATATAAATTACATATGACTTTTTCAGGAAAAAAGATCTGCTGCTAGAGTGAGGCACACCTGTAATAACAACATTTTTATTTGAGTCCAATGCCTTTAATCTAAGGAAATCCAAACATTTCACAAACATTTACCCTAATGATCCTCATCCCATTATGATTCCACTTGTGTGGATTTGGCTCTGCTTTAACCAGTGTTTTTGGAATATATACCCATAAGCTTATTTGAGAGGTATTGTGGTATAGTGGAGAAAAAACCAGCCTTGAAGTCAGTCAGACTGGATTCAAGTTCACCTTAGACACACTGGCTCGGAGACCCTGGGCTAATCATTTAATTTCTTAATACCCCAGGTAAACTCTCTAAAACTAAGAAGCAAAACAGACACTGACCTGCATTGGTAAAAGGCATTTGCTCATCAGTTATTCCCTACACCAATGAGACCACAGTCCAATACACGCCCCCCCCAACCCCATAACTCCCAAACCCTATTTATACAAAAGAATAGTTCTCCCAGCAGTCCTGAAGAAAGCAGCAAGGCAGATGTGCCCTTTTCCTCCTGGGATGCATTTTCTCTACAGTCAGAAGAACATCCTGGCTGGTATGATTTAGGTGCAATTGGTTACAAGCCAGGGTGTGAGATTTAGCTTACATGGCATCTCTTTGTGCTGAGGAAACTAGTGCTAAACTGTTCATTACTTAGTCAGAAGATATATGTGCTTCATTTTCACTTCCTCTTTATTTTTCTATCTTACAAGTACTCACGTGTATAGGATTATCTCTGGGATTCTCTCAACTGTCCACTTTACTCTTAGCCTTAAAATTACTACTCTTTCTACTATCAAATTCAGTTCTCTCAATCAATCAATCCCCAGGTATTCATTGAGTATGTAAGATAATATGTGCTCAATAAATAGTGAATGAATGAATATCTTAAACCTCTCCCTTCCATCACTGTCTATTGAGCAACAGACATCATTATCTTTTACTATCATGAGAAATGCTTGCTATGGAGGAAATAAAATTTTAGGGAATTAATCTGAGATATAGAATGGGTTCAACAGGTCATCTAAGGTACCTCTTGTAGGAAGAAGACAGTGTTCTCTGCTATATATACACATAGAAGACATCTTCTGGTCTAAAATCAACAACTATCAGGAAGCTTTTCTTAGAGTTTTCCTCGTTTGGGAATTTTCTTAATTTTATCCCATCACTCCACAATTTCTTCTTTAATCTCCTTGTGTCAGCTTTAAGCCTTTGTAGTATTTACTGACTTACTATCTCCCATTCCATCTATTTCCTGGCCATCTTTTGAATGCAACATTTTTAGTTTCTTTTTGTCCATCTTTAGTTTCCTAATCTCCCTCCAAAAATCTATAAATTCTTGTCTTTCTACAATTATCTACTTATCTGCATAGTTCTGGTTATATAGGAATCCTTTCCAATTTGTTGATGTTTCAACTGGACCAATGGAACCAAACTGAACCCTACTGCTCTTGCCACTTCATACTAAGATTCAGTACCTAACCATGCTTCCTGTCTCTCTCTTTCTACACACACACACACACACACACACACACACACACACACACACACACACACACACACACACACATGCCAATATTAAGTGCATAGTAACTCCTATAATTTTATAGTGGAATAGAAGACGTCCAAAGAACAAAGTAATTTCTAGCCAGTGAGTAACAGGGTCCAGAAGAATCTGAAAATGAGTTCTTATTTTAAGTATTCAAAAATGTGTTACATATATACATAGGGAGAATTAGATTGGAAAGAAGCTTTCCAAAGGTTCTGGTTTCAGCTGGTTCTCCCTCTTTTGCCCAAAAAGAATGAGTTACGTGTGTGTACCTCTTCCTCTATTCCCTCTTCTCCCACTTTTCTTCAGTTAACTTCAGAACATAACTAGAAATATTTCTCCTGAGGCTAGCTGTACAGAACATGCCCTCAGATCAACTTTCAGAAATAAGTTTTTCTGTAGGGAAACAGAGATCCAAAGATATCCTTCTGAGCAGAAACTCCAAGGGAAACTAAAGGTAGAGGTAGGGTGGAGCAAGGCTGGGCCAGACTGGGGAAGAGCTCAACTGGGGTGTGGCTGAACTGAAGAACGTGCCATTTGGCAGCTTCCTTTTAAAAGTAATTATTCTTGCTCATCTAGTGGGTGCAGAATTTACTTGTTTCTATTCTGTTCAAGGATGGCAAATCCAGTCAGAGACCTCTAGATTGCTGTGCTTGCAGAAAAGGCCCAGTTGCTCCAACCTAGTTACGGCTCTACATAGATGACAGGGACCTTAAAGGTATTATTGCTATTATTTCATTAGAAGGATAATGACCTCTCAACCTCTTCAAAAAACCCAAGTGAAAACAATACAACCTCATGCACACTGTCTTCCAACTCCTTAGAGTCTGTTTATAGCTGAATACTGAATGACTCAGAAATTAAAATGTTTAGTGGCATTCTAGAGGCATAAGTGTGAAACTGCAGGCCTGTAGAAAAACTTGAGTGGAAAATCCAAAAGACTTCTGATTCATGAATGAGCTTAGAAGGTTAACTCTTTCAGACAAACCGTTGTGTCTAGAATGTTCCAGATGAAATGAAATGAATAATAACATCCCTCAAAGGTAATGAACAAAACCAAAATATAAACTATTTCACCTGAAACTCCAACCACATTTTTCCTTTTTAACTGTGTGTTTAAGTAAATACTTCTTTGACTCAAACACTGAATTTGCATTAATGATAAAAATTTTAGAAAAGAGTTGTCAAGTTTATAGAAATTTTAGAATACAAGAGTCACTTCAAAATACTCAGTTACCACTTTTGGATGGGGAAGAAATACAAATATATGGAGCTTGGTAATTAACATTGAAACTTAAGCTAGAGACCACTAGGTAGTTCACTCTATAGAGGGCTGGACTTGGAGTCAGGAAGACCTGAGTTCAAATCCTTCCTCATATACTTACTAGCCATATGACCCTGGTCAAATCACCTAACTGCTATTTGCCTCAGTTTCCTCAACTGTAAAATGGGGGTATTAATAGTACTCATCTCCTGGGGCTGTTATGAAGATTAAATGAAATAATATTTATAAAGCACTTAGCACAATGCCTGACACATGCTGTTATTCTTCAGTCATTCAGTCACGTGATCCCATGGATCATACTGTCCTTGGGGTTTTCTTGGCAAAGACACCGGAATGTTTTGCCTTTTCCTTCTCCAGTGGATTAAGGCAAACAGAAGTTAAGTGACTTGCCTAGGGTCACACAGCTAGTAAGTGTCTAGGTCCAAATCTGAACTCAGGTCTTCCTGACTCCAGGCCTACAGTCTATCCACCGAGCTACCTAGCTGCTTGACACATAGTAGGCGTCTAGTCCATCCTTCTTTCCAATTTTACTATCTTTTAAAAAAGTGTTTTTATAAA